GGAGGATTAAAAGGATTAAAAAGATTAAATCATTTAATCCTTTTAATCCTTTCAATCCTCCAAAAGGCACGGGGGGAAAGGATTAAATGATTTAAAATGGGGGATTAATCCTTTTTAATCCTTTTAACCTCCAAATCCTCTGAGGACTAAAGGTTAAAAGATTATGCTTGGTCCTCACATTGGGGTTCTGGGGGCTCTGGAGGATTAAAAGGATTAAAGGGATTAAAAAGGATTAAATGATTTAATCCTTTTAATCCTTTTAATCCTTTTAATCCTTTTAATCCCCCAAAAGCTCTGGAGGATTAAAAGGATTAAATCATTTAATCCTTGTAATCCATTTAATCCCCCAAAGGCTCTGGAGGATTAAAAGGATTAAAAGGATTAAATCATTTAATCCTTTTAATCCTTTTAATCCTTTTAATCCTTTTAATCCCCCAGAGATCTGGAGTCTAAGGCCCAAGCATTGGATTAAATGATTTAATCCTTTTAATCCTTTTAATCCTCCAAAGCCTCTGGAGGATTAAAAGGATTAAAAGGATTAAATGCTTGGTCCTCACATTGGGGTTCTGGGGAGCTCTGGGGGATTAAAAGGATTAAAAGGATTAAATCATTTAATCCTTTTAATCCTTTAATCCTTTTAATCCTTTTAATCCTCCAGAGCCCCCAGAACCCCAATGTGAGGACCAAGCATTTAATCCGTTTAATCCTTTTAATCCTCCAGAGGCTTTGGAGGATTAAAAGGATTAAAAGGATTAAATGATTTAATCCTTTTAATCTGTTGAATCCCCCAAAGGCTCTGGAGGATTAAAAGGATTAAAAGGATTAAATCATTTAATTCTTTAAATCCTCTCAATTTTCCAAAAAGCTTTAAAATTTATCATAATTAACCGGAACAAAATGGTACCTAAAGGTCTCTCGATCATATATATATATATAATATACACGTGTGTATATATATATATACATACATATTGTATATTACCATGAAAAATCCCCAGGTTTATCCCTAATCCATGGTCAATGTATGTTTGTTCATGGGTGAATTCTCCCATAGCTCTGGGGAGGCTTGATAGACATCTTCCTGGGCATCTTGCTGCTCCAGGGGTTAGTATACCTGTTATTAGGAATTCCAGATGAACATACCACACTCATCCCATGTACTGTAACTTGACCATGGCACACCTGGGCTTAATTTTTGCAACATGAGACCATATACCATATACCAACGATAGTTAGAGATGGAAATATCATGCCCAATTGGTGGTGCTGGTATATTTACCAACATTTACCCGAACAAAATCACCCAGTCATGTAGGTTTTTATATACCAGCGCCATGGATCATATGGGATGGGACATCCCCACGACTTCGCCATTGCTGGTTATAGGTGCCCGCAACAGACAATTCCCCATTTTTTTATTGGACATAAGTGACCTTTTTCAGATGCCCATTTAGTTCAGAACTCCCAACCATATCTAGCCATGTTTGATGGATTTCCCAGCTTGCCATCTTTGATCGTCATTATCTAGGCCATTATGTTATGTATTATTAACCATCATTAACCACTATAAAAACCATTACTAACCAGCATTATATTATATTATGAACCATTATAAACCATAATGATCATATTAATAATAATATAATGAACCATGAATTAATATATTATTAACCATAATTAACCACTATTAACCATTGCTAACTAACTGAACCATTACATTATTTACCATAGTTAACCACTATTAACCATTGCTAACTAACCAGCATTATCTGGTTGGTGGTTTGGAACCTTTTTTATTTTTCCATATATTAGGAATAATCATCCCAACTGACTCATATTTTTCAGAGGGGTAGGTCAACCACCAACCAGTTATGAACCACCATTCTTAACCATACTTAACTGTTGTTATGGTGAAACCAGCCCTGAGTTCCCCGGGTGCTCCGTCTGACGTCAGGACAGCTGTGGGGTCGATGTGACCTTCACCGTCAGTTGGGATCACAGCCGTCGGGACCAACGTGGAGCATAGGGATGGTGAAATGGTGATTTCACCAACGTTGATCTGATAATTCACCTTTAAAATCACCTACCCTCTGGTTATTCAACAGTTTGCCATGAAAAATGGATGGTTTACCTATTAATAGCATGGTGATTTTCCATGGCGAACTGTGAAATAACCAGAGGGTATAAATCAGCATTGAATCAGCTATAAATCAGCATCAAATCAGCTATGAATCAGGATTTCATTTCGACACATGCTGATTTTTCTCGGTGGTTTATGATGCGGACGTTGGTTGATTTGCCTAGGTTAGCTAGGGGCTATGGTAAGTACATCCCTAATTAAGAATATGTCATCAACCAACACATTTTTCATTTTGGGGCCAGCAAATTGTTATTTTTGGTGGTGGTTTAACCATCCACTGTCCAAATGATTGAACACAAAAAACGCAAATGTTATACTTCTTGGTCACTACAAGGCCATTTTGTCTGTTGGCTGTGTTTCCAGTAGCGATGTTGATATTTCACATTCGTTGCGGTACTATTGCTGTTGACTGTATTCTCACTTCAGCTACCGTTGTTGTTCCTTGCTTGGAGGTATTTCCATCTGTTTTGGTTGTTTCTTGGCAATGCAGCCGTGATTTACTGGTACCAGCAATACCCACCATGCTGAAAAAGCAACACAATTCCTAGTGCTTTCAATTCGATTGTTTATGCACATCTAGTCCATCATGTTCACTGTCCCTTCTTACATCTCTTGGTCGTTATCTACTTATCATTCCTGCTGCTGGCTCCGTGGCTCATGTGTTCTCATTATATATATACACACACATACACTATTAATCCCCTCCCCCTAATATTGAACACCCCCTAAATAGTCCCAATGGAATGTGGAAATTCCCTATTAAACCATGGTTTCGTTTGGGTGGCTCCGGCACTGCCAAACCCCTGGCAGGGTTGATGGTGAGTTCGGGGATTAGTTCACTACCCAATAGTCATTGGGGATAAAAATCATCCAAGAACGGGAAATCCCATTCTAAACCAACCAGGATTCAATGGAATGATAGGGGGATGGCTTGAACACTGCTCACATGTGGACTCGTTGATTTTACGATTCCAAACACTAAACGGCCTGATCGTGCCTGATCCACATTTGGACCAAGAGAAATATCTCATAAGAAAGGGGGTGGCGGGGGCTGACTATGGTTTATGGTGGCTGCTCAACAACTACGCACAGTATTCATCGGGTTTATAGCCCCACAGACATAACTGGGCCCACATGGTATCTGCAATACCTGATCTTTCAGGTCCCAGTCTTCCTTCTGGTTTGCGACTGGATGAGGCACCGATATGGATATAACCATGGTGATCACCTGCATTAGGGCTGGGGGCTATGCAACCCTGCCCTAGAGCTATGGTTATCCACAAAAAAACTGGAACTGTACAGACAGTGGAAAGTCCAACTAGTTGATTCGTCGAGATTGGATTTACCATAACTCGATTCTTTGGTTTATCATGGTTAATACGTGTTAATATATGTCAATATTGGATAAATAGTGGCTTAATAATGGTGAATATCGGATATTTAATCTGGTTGGTGGTTTGGAACCATGGAATTTTATGACTTTCCATATATTGGGAATGTCATCATCCCAACTGACGAACTCCATCATTTTTCAGAGGGGTAGGTCAACCACCAACCAGTAATGGACTTATAATGTCCGCAATTGATACAGTACAGCTAAGGATGAACGACATGCTTCGATGAGATATATATGATAAGCTATTCTCCAAGTGGTGAAAGATTCCCTGTCATCAACAACAATGGTTCTTCAAAAGCACGCTTGCAAATCTCCCACCACTCGTTTTAGTTGGAGGCACATTTAGGATCATCAAGGATCGGTATCTCATATGATATCAAGAACTTATGGAGGAACTGTGCCACTTTCAATGACATTTGCCACATGTTTTTTTGGGAACTTAGGGGATGTCACCATCCATTAACCATCCATTACCCTCTGGTAAACTAACAGTTTGCTATTGAACATGGCCATAGAAATAGTTGATTTTCCCATTAAACATGGTGATTTTCCATAGTTTTTTGTATGTTTACCAGAGGGTAACCATGTTTTTTTGTGGAATCACCATCCATCCACCAGCTATAACTTGGAGGACCATCCCGTCGTTCCGGTACCGTTTGGGCTGTTCGGGCTGTTCTGATGGCGTTTTCGTCGCCGACCATTCGTTGTGCACAAACCAGGGTCCTTGGATGGTGGTTAAATCATGTTAAATCCAAAGTATAACATATATATATGTAACAGTGTATATATATATATGTCACTATATAATTATATATAATTATAAGTATACAACATAATATATATGTATATATATATAGTTATATACATATCTTGATGTTCCATCATTCAGCCCCTTGGAATGCCACCATCGTCAAACCGCCCCCGTCGCAAAGACAGCGCCGGCGTGGTAAGCGCAGGTCACTGGATGCATCAGCGGGACGCCCACGGAGGAAGTGGACGCAAGGGACTACGAGGTGACAGAAACATGTGGTTCGTAACGGTTAAGATTGGGAAACATACCAAAAACCATGGAAAATCACGATTTTTAAGGGGAACATCAACTATTATTGGGAAAATGTTGGGAAAATGTTGGGATAACAATGGGTTAACAATGGTTCTCATTAAAATGATGTTGGTTAATAATGGTGATTTTTATGGCTTAACATGGCTTAACAATGGGTTAACATTTGTGAATAATGGGATGATAATGGGATATACCCCCTGGTAAATATGGTTAAACCCTCTGGCAAACGTTTACATATTTTTGTGAAGATCACAACCGTTAATGGGTAAATCAACTATAAATGATTGTAGTTGGCCATGTTCAATAGCAACCTGTTTGTTTACCAGAGGGTAATACTGGGAAAATGTTGTAAACATATGATTAAGAATGGTTAACAATGGTTAATGATGGTTAATATTCTGGTTACTTGGTGGTTCATTCCACTTAGTAGGTTATATCCTTTGTTACAGGTGGGATATGTAGGCTTAATGACTTCGACCGCGCGGTGGACGTCGTCCAGCCAGGTCACTGCCAGCAACGTGTCGGGCAGCGACGCGACGACTTTGTGTCTCTGCGTGCGGCCGGAGAAGCCGCATGACCTGAGGCGCGGATGACGAGATGGGAAAGATGTGGTTTGCAACGGTGAAAACACTGGGAAAATAGGATGATTATAGGATGATAATGGGATAATCATGGGATAATGATGGGATAATGATGGGATATAGTGTCCTTTTGTGGTCAGTAATGGTTAATACTGTGAAAATATGGTTAAATATAATCATGAATAACCATGAATAACAATTAAACATGTAGTTAGTAATGGTGACTTGGTGGCTCATGCAACTTTTTTTGTGGGAGTAGGATTAATCCACTTATAACTGGAGTGTGACAAACATCGCAACGTCACTGGAATGATGGGAACTGTAAAGGGTAACTATCCCAAAGTAGCTGAAAATTTGAGGTTAGTGAAAATATTGTACTTTACCCAGACCCTTGTTGATTGGTTATGAAGTAAGGAGTTTTACTACCTAGTTACCTAGTTATATGAGATTATGAATTAGTCCAAATGAATGGGAAATCGTTTTCAACCAACTGGTATTTCATGAGATGGGAAGACCAGTGTATTTTCAATGGTTCATTTGGCGTATGAATATGGTAACCCCCCAAAAAAAATCCGAAAAGTTGGAAAAATGGAAAAACATCATCGAACTACCATCTCTGAAAAGTTTTTCCATTTGTTTTTGTGTTTGATTATCGTATGTGTGATTATTGTACATGGTTTTTACATATGAGCATAGAATTCTATGTATATATATATACCTGTGGTTTGGATGGCCTTACAGCCAAACCTGTGCCAACCAAGAGGTCCACCACCTGAAAAGGAGGAGCGAACAAATAGAGGGTGCGCTCAGAAGGAGGCTGAGATGACCGGGGCTGCAGAGGGATCCCCTGATGTACCCTGCCTCTGTGGGCCAGATCCTTGCTGCATCCGCGCTCTGGTCCGCAGCGCCTCGACAGTTTTGATGGCTGGAGTCTTTAGGATATTTGTTTACACCCCCTGGAATGAAGGGAAACCTGTTACCTAGGTGTTTATGGATGTTTATGGATGTTTATGGGATCTATCAATTGAAGACTCCAGCCAGCAGAGAAGACCTTGCAGCCAGCAAGGCAGAGGGGTGTTGACTAGTTTCTATTACCAGGGGGTGAAACTCTCAAATGGGACCTTCATTTTTTTGTTGTGGTCTAAAAGGGGAAAATTTAAAATCAACATGACCAATTTGAAATTTCCAAACAATTGGGCAGCGAAACTACTGTAATATACTGTAATTTTTAGTATGTGGGGTATGTTTAATAATGGGCGAAGGGATTATTTAGATAGGATTATATATAAATAACAATTCACCCATCAAAAGGGGTCGGTTTCACGAAAGACTACGTGATATGTTTTTAAACTTTGAAGATGAACATTTTTGTTTATTACAAATTAAGAGCAAATAGCAGGTTTTGTATGTTCCATACCAATCATCATTTGTAAATCCACCCAGGTTTATCCTTAATAAAGTAGGCAATAGTAGGTAAGCACATCAATCAACTCATGTTGTACACCCCATTTCACCAACTAACACCTAGCATGAATCTGGTTATTTCACATAGCGTCATGGAAGCCATGTTCCATTTAACGATGATAACCACGATGATTTCCCCCACGAAAAATGGTGTTTTTTTCCCAGTTCCAGTTTGGGTAAACGTCAAGAGGTACCCCGACCTGGCGGAGTCCTACGAGGTAGGCCAGGAGATCAGTCTCGCACCTGAGGCCGATGGATGCAGGGTGAGGGTGGCTGGGTGCCTGGGATTTCTATATCAAGAATGTATGGCTGAAGTACATTCAAGAATGTGTGGCTGAAGTACATTGGCCAGAAAAAAAAGGACAAATACATAGGAACAAAGTAAACAAAAAGTACATCAACATTTTTCTACATCAGCAATGGACAGAAAAAACTATACCCTCTGGTAAATGAACACTTGGACCCTGAAAAAAAAACATTTAAGTTTAGTTGAAACTAATCTTCCAAGCCCGATGACTGCCAGGGTCTATGTTAATTTACCAGAGGGTAATATATACTATGATGGGATCAGTATGTATAGTAATGGAACTTTCAATGATCATGTTTTGGATCGGTGGGGCGATGAAACCAAACATAGGGACGTATACCAGCAAGAGGGATGTACGTGGTATATAGGCTGGGAAAAGTCCTAATGTTTTTTTTTTTCCCAGTAACATCTTATATTATCAATGGGAATTTCAGGATCCTAAAATGGAGGTACGTTAGTACCATATTTCAGGCCATATTTTCTGGGGATATTCCCTTACATAGGCCTGAAACATAGGCCTTATATATGGTAGGTACCTCCAATGAATCGGTTCCTGAGTCATGGCCATTGATTGAAGAATATTAACCTATAATTTGGATTAATTTGGGAGATTTATTGGGATTAATGATGATAATGGTTAATAACGGCCATGGATATTGCTCGGGAACTGGGAGAATCCTAATATAATCCTAATGAGAACAGATAACACATATATCGTTTGAGGTTTTTTTCATCCCTTCACGGATGAAAAAAGCTGAACATCAAGATAAAGGAAACATGTAAATGCCGGGTTTGGACCAAGTTATCAGGATATTATGGTCCATACTGCAAATAACTGCATTTACATGTAACCTTTATATTGATAACCGGTTTTCCTTTGCTCATTTGGATAATACTGATATGGACCAAGTTTCAGTTTTTTTTTTTGTGCATACTGCAAATTGCAATAGAAAAATGAATCTGAATCCTTTTTGGGTTTGGGTTGAACATGGGTCGAAAAAAATATCCTCTGGTAATTTGTTACAGTTTGTGAACTGGAAAATGGCCCATAGAAATAGTTGATTTACCCATTAATAGCATGGTGATTTTACATAGCAAAGTGTTAGTTTACCAGAGGGTATCCTATAATATGTTTATAGATGAAGACCTTGAAGATGCATTTTTTCGATAGTCCACCAGGGGGAAAAAGGGGTTCGATTCATACCCAACGAATGCATACTGAATGGAAGTAGAAAGTACGGAACCATATCTGGTTGGTGGTTTGGAACATTTTTTATATTTTTCAAGATGGTAAAAACCACCAACCAGATATCATGTGGTGTACAACAAACAGGAAGGGATACTGCAAAACCAACAATGCTACCCATACGTTACAGTTGCTATGATGGAATTTTCACGCGATCAATTTGAATCATAATATGCCGGCAAAACATAAAGCCATACGTACATTTGGGGGTCATTTGCATTGTATAACCAATGATGAACCACAAATAGTTTTTTCATGTTTTTTCTTAATGTTGTACACTAGTTGTTATCCCATCATTTCCCAAAATTATTTGCATGGCATGTTCCCATTTATTCTTAGGTGATATTTCTTTTAGGTGTACATAGCACATTCTACGATGCGAAAACACCCAGCGCAGCTTAGCGCATGGGTCAGGTGGATCTACCATCTCCACATGGTGAAATACCACATGGTTTGGTGATGTTTGCCAGTCTACGATACACTTCCCCCTGAACCGAAGAAACTTGAATTGAATGGATGCTAATATTTGATGGCAAAAAACAAGGGTTTCCTGGTCTATGTCTGATGGTTTTCTCTAGACTTCCCCCAACCAATCGACGAAACCCTCTTATGCAATTGCTGGCAAAACACAATTTTCCCTTAGATAGTTTATAGTAGTTTCCATTTCTAATTCTTCCAACAAAGGCAACGGGGGCAAAAGTGGAGGTAAAGCAAAAGGTAAATCCAAATCTAAAGGGAAGATCCAGTGGTTGACAGATTTCTTCCCAGAAAACCACAGAACAATCCATTGTTTTTTTCCCCTGAGATCAATGGGAATTCCAGGATCCTAAATTGGAGGTACGTTAGTACCATATTTCAGGCCATATTTTGTGGGGATATTCCCTTACATAGCCCTGAAATTTAGGCCTTATATATGGTAGGTACCTCCAATGAATCGGTTCCTGAGTCATGGCCATTGATGAGACGCTGCTTTTTGAATCTCCTACAAAACCGCTTCAGCTTGCAGGTGCAAGGAGCAGTGAACCGCTTTGAAGTGGTACCCAGCTTAGTGCAGCAGTGGTCCGGAAAAAAATGCACCTTAGTCACCTTAGTCAGGTGGGTGAATGGGATCGATTTTTGTATGGGAACATTTAATCCAAAATGTATGTTTTGTAGATGATGTACTGTATATGGGCTGATTGGATTGTGTTGTGGTGCCATCAATGGCGAATGTACAGTACAGTATAATTATACTGACAGGCGACAGGGATTGCATGGGATATTTGTGTTGTCTGTGAGTGATAGCATACATATATAGATGCTGTACGACAAGATGTTTGCTTGTTTGCAAGGTTTTGAGTGTACCTGGTTGGTGGTTTGGAGCATTTTTTTCCCCATACATTGGGAATAATAGTCCCAACTGACTTTCATATTATTTTTCAGAGGGGTGGCTCAACCACCAACCAGATACCTGTCAATGTTCTGCTTTGAGTTTAGGGTTTCATCACGACCATTATCCTCTGGTAAATTAACAGTTGGACCCTGAAAATCACCAACTTTTAGTGGAACGTTTTTCTTCCAAATCCGATGACTGGCAGGGTCGAACTGCTAATTTACTGGAGGGTATAATGGGAATACATCAATTATAGGGCAATGACTAGGAAAATCCCTATGAATGGAGGGTAATTTAGGTTTCCCTTGTTCTTTACATCGTTTGATGGTGGTGAAGAACTCTTGGTCGATAGGGTTACACTGCCCATAACTGGTTTTGCGTCATTGGCCATGCGGAACGCAATGTCTGACATGACACAGAAGAACGGTCCGCAAACATACAGTTATGGCACTGGTTGGTGGTTTGGAACATTTTTTATTTTTCCATATATTGGGAATAATAATCCCAACTGACTTTCATATTTTTCAGAGGGGTGGCTCAACCACCAACCAGATACAGTTATGGCATGTTATGGCCATGGCTATTAGTTTCTGCTTATTTGTATGGGACGATACATGCCATTTCTATGGGCTGACTGTTAGTACGTATAAGTGCTATTTCGGGCCATAACCAAAAACTACATGAAACGCTACCCCACTAGGTCACAGCCATGAGTTCCTGGTATAGTCGGCTGTCAGGTACAAGATAGTACAGTGCTGTCCTGGACGTACAGAGTTTGAATCAACAATGACACTAATGTGGTTAAAACAATAATAAACCATCCCCAAACTCACCATTTTTATGGGTGGTATACACCATTCCCAGTCATGGGTAGTTTGTGGCATTGTTTTAACCACATTTCATTAATGGCAGTGGCACTGGCAATGACACTGTTGGATTCATCTTACATCCTGGCAGCTACATGAACAAGCACCTTGATGGGGAGCAAAGTCAAGAATTTCCAGATGCCCCTGTTCATTAAGAGTAAAACGAGACCGATATCGCACACAAATCAAAGTTATCACATAACCACCTGTTCACACATTGCTCAGACTTATTTTTCCCCAAAACGTTGACTGAACATGACATTTATCAATTCACCACATGGATCTCACGTTGGGACCGAGTTCTTCAGAGCAATCTCACCTTGTTCGATGAGGCTCCTGATCTTCCAGGGGGTTTGACATTGGATGCAAGCACAGGCCGTGGGAGATTTCTGGCTCAGTAGGTTCTTCGTGTGGGGAGATATCTGGCTCAGTAGGTTAGGATTGTTAGGATGAACCCCAGTGATTTTCATGGAACCCTACTCATCCCACTGAAACAAGCAGGGTGAACTAACCTACGAATCGGATTCGTGGGTGGTGAGCCCCACCACGTGGATATTATCAAATAGAGAGTGATACAAGTTACAGGAAGGGGACCCCTAGTTGCCCTAGTTGTCGCTTTGGAACCCCATTTAACTATAGTGATATCCCCTATAAACCGTACCCTCTGGTTATTTAACATAGCCATGGAAAATGGTTCATTTATAGATGGTTTACCTATTAAAACTGGTGATTTTCGATGGCTATGTTAAATAACCAGATGGTAATTCACCAAGTTATGATTCAACGGGCAGCTACGGGACCTCTTCCTGATATGGCTATGCGATGCTATATGGGTTACCCAACCTTGGTACCCGTACCAAAATAGCTGGGATTTATGGATGTTTTATACCCCCCAAATATGGTCATAAAAAATCGTCAACAGCCTTTTTGCATCTTTTTGCATTGAATTCAAGCATGTTCAGTTCAGGCAATGTTTTCTTAAGTTGACAATGTGACAAAGCTTCGCCACCAAAATCTTCCAAATGCTCAAACCGGTGTCTCTCACCGACGCTGAAATCAACGGGAGATTATGCATTGTTGACCGTCCAAATTACCCTCTGGTAAACTAACAGTTTGCTATTGACCATGGCCTATTTATAGTTGATCTACGTATTAAAAATGGTGATTTCCCACAATTTTTTGTATGTTTACCAGAGGGTAGATCGCAAATTGATTTGATTGTCATTTCCCTTCTATTTTTCAGCAGATTCCACAAGGCCACAAGGCACATCAAAAGACTGTTAAAGGACACGCCGCTTTAGCGGCAGGTGCAAGGCTCCTCACCAAAAGTTGAAGAAGGTGCTCCAAAATCTAGATTAATTACAGTTAAATGGTTCGAAAAATCGGGTTTTCATTTCAGAAATGGGGTTATAAGTGACTTATAACTGGTAAAGGGATGTAAAGGGCGATAACTATAGTGCAAGCATTGAGAGCAGTTTTTTTTGCTACGTCAGTTATTTTGCTCGTAGAACGGTTGGGTCTATGGCAGATACACTCCTAGTTTTATGCTTTTTATAAACCAAAAATGGGGTTTGCTAGGTGATTTATGCTACGTTGGTTTCTTTGCCTAGTTGATTTCTACGGAGTTTATGGTAGATAGATCTGTTTTTACTTTGGGAATCCATGGTTAGTAAATGGGCTATCCCAACAAGCTAGTTACAAATGGGATAACCTTCACGTGACCAGGAGCAGTCGAGGGATCCTTGTCGATTTAGGAATTCATGAGAATCAGTGAAGCTGAATGAACAGTATATTCATGACTAGCAATCATAAATAATCATATTTCGAAAAATAAACCTTTCGTGATTTACCTTTACTGTAAATGAAAAAAAACGTAATGATTCACAGTTACTTAACATCTTTAGTATTTAATACTCATGAAGCAAAGTAGCTATTCGAAGCTATTGCGCTTTCATGGTTAAAGGTTTATGAATATTAAGAACTCGCAACCATATTCGTTCATAGACAAAGGAATTATAGTATACTGTGTGTGCAACCTTTGCAAGACAGCTGGCGGTGGCGGCAACTGTTTGTGTATCGACGAGTCTTCATTTTTTCCGTTCAATTCTGCTTAGTGGGAATAGGTTGAGTATGTTTAGTTCTTCCCAGAAAATAACTGGCTCAGAGCTCTTATTCCGGAAAATGGCTTGCAGCAATAACATATATAGTTCTATCATCCCAGAAACTAGGTTTAGTTAGCTCTTAGTTAGCTCAGGATAAACAGAAAAAAGAGACTCTTTGATCAGAGCTGCCCTGATACAATGGCTGCTCGTTTCAGTGATGAACGCATGATTCTGCCAAAAGATAGCAGGACATTACATTACGTTATATATAATTTATATAATTATATAATTATATAACATAATATATGATAATACAATATAATATATAATATACATCCAATATATATATACACATCTAATATATATATATATTTATTCGATACATGAATATCTACTATATTTACATTTTTCATATATTATTCTATATATAATATACATACAAGTATACATATATACATATGTATCTTATTGATATGTTGATACATCCCCAGCTCGGTAGATGGCGCCAGGTGAGATTCAGGGTACCCTGGCGGCCGTGTGCGACGGTGTGCACCAAATCACGGCAACGGGAGAGGTGCGCTCTGCCGATGAAAAATGGGATTTTCCAAGAAAAATATGGAGGTTTCAATGGAAAACTCATGGGAAAAAACAGGAACATCTCATCAGATCATAACTGGTTGGTGGTGACTGGAACCATGGATTTTTATGACTTTCCATTCAGTTGGGAATTTCATGATCCGAACTGACGAGCTCATATTTTTTTCAGAAGGGTAGGTCAATCACCAACCAGATAAAATGGCTTTGCTTCAGAAATTGGTTTTCCGAAAAACCATGCCCCATTCAAACGGCCAAAAAAACTTACGAGAAACCATGGACCATGACGATACCTGTTGGGGATGATGGCGCGAAAATTTCAATCTTCAAAAACTCGCAATTTCCTCGAGTTTCTATACATAAATGAATGAACAAAAGGTTTAAAAACAAAATATGGTCTATAAAATTGCCTGCTGGAAGAATTTTGAAGCTTACGGTGGTTGTCATAATAACCCACAATTTTAGCCGTGTTCAAAACCAGTGTTGGTTGATGATTAGTTGTGGGATTATACTAACCAATACATTGGGGATTCGAATAAAATAATCCAAGAACGGGGAATCCCATTCTAAACCAAGCCGTATTTCATGGTAGAGGGATTTTGAACACTGCTCAAATGACTACAGATATATCTGGGTAAATTATATAAATTATAATATTTCACTAACCTGAAACTTGCGGCCATTTGGGGATGATTTCCCTTATTAACCATGATTCCAGGGTTCGGGAGAACAGGGTTCGGTCGTGATGAAATTTACCCAGAGATATCTACCATAAACTATAGACCCACGGAAGGAGACAGGCCCACCTTTAACGGCTCACCCTGTTGGGGCAGGAAGGGACAACCACTGCTGAGCTCAAGTTCACCGTCGTCTCGGAGCCCAGCGTTACTTTTGTTGGGGAGACATGTCTATCTCATCCTGGATACAACAACGTTTTTGTCCATCTTTTGGGGGCAAAAAACCATGATTACGGTATAGCAAAAGAGACTGGGATAGACTGGGACTTGAAGATGTGACCTTTCTGATATCAAAGAGGTTTCACCAGATCGGCATAGTGACTGGTAGCTCTAGGGTCAACTCATACAGATGTGGTGTTCCCCAATGGTTTCCACTTCGGAACATGATCTACATTCATGGTGGCTGTTCCTCCAAGTAGGGGGGCAGTTCTTAGTGTCTTTGGTTTGGAGTCTCATCTCTAGATCGGTAGGTGGAGTAGATGTACAGCATCACGAAATAGAAACGCTTCAACTTGAAGGACCATCGCTGATGGCCAGTTCCCAAACATGGAGACTATTTCCTGGTTGCAAGACTTACATTGTTTAAATCAATCATGCTTATAGTTGATTAATTATTCGAGAATACGTAGAGATTGGACAATTATTGGACTATTTTATTGGTCACATACTATATAACTATATATATATACATATTATTATGGTACCACTATAGTTCAAACCACCGTAGTGTTTTTTCAAACCTCCATCGCTTTGTCCACCCGTTGTTTGACAATCCGGTTGACCGACCGGATTTTGCAGGTCGAGGGTGTGTTTAGGTGGTGTTTGATGGGTGAAGGTACCCATAGATTTGGTCGATTTGTCAGCACAGGCAGCAAGGTGGTGCCCCCGTTCGATAGCGTTCAGTTGGTGCGTTTATAACTCCAATTTCACTCTGGGATTTTTGTTGGTGATATATCATGATATATCTATAGTTTTCATGGGCAAATAAACCAATTTATAACTGGGGGGGCACCACCTTGTGGTATTACAGTATTCCGAATCACATTTGCCAGATTTTTTTCCCAAGATGTTGGTACTTAGGATGTAAGAATGATTAAGCATGGTAGCCATCTTGCTTTGGTACTTTTTGCATCTCTCGGCCATGTTTAGTCAAGGTGATGCCCCATACTTCGCCAAGTTGCTTTATAGATACTAAACTCAAGTAAAGCTAGGGTGTATGGTAGATCTATTATGATATATTCCCTAGTCAATGAGTCAATGAGATTTTTCTAAACCAGCTAGCATGAAATGCGTAGAATTTCTAGGGACCCCCGTTCTGATGGGACCCCCGTTCCCCCATCACCCATCATGACTGGTGGGACATGGTGGGACCAAAAAAAAAAATCCATGGATTTCCCATGAGTGGGCATCACAGAAACTGGTTGGTGGTTTGGAATTTGGAACCATGGATTTTTATGACTTTCCATGAAAAATTGGGAATTTCATAATTCCAACTGACGAACTCCATCATTTTTCAGAGGGGTAGGTATACCACCAACCAGTAAAATTATGGATTCCCTGAGCACCAAAAGAGTATAGCTCAGGTGGTGTCAGCACCCTCGAACTTCAGCTATCCTTTGGCCAGGTGGGTGTCCGAAACTGTCCTTTCCCACTGGTTACCTCCAGTCTCATGAAACATGGCAGTGGAAAATCCACGAGCCATGGAGGTTTATAGATGTTTATAGCTGTCGCTGGGATGGGAAAATCATCGAAGTAGCCAGGTGGGATTTTCCAGCAAGCCATGGAGCTGACTACCATAGGATAACATGTTTGAGAGCTTTGTTGTCCAAATTATCCATGGCCAGATTGTGGCGGTTTGACTTTAAACAGGAGACCCAAGGGGAGTGCAATCCTTAGCATCACAGCACGGGAATATTTCATGGGGAAGGCAGCCTATCTGATGTGAGATTCCAACATGTGTACCTTTTTTTAAATGTATGTCCTGATCTTGTCAGTCAAACCCGTGATTTTGAGTCATTTTGCTTATGAGATCTTATGAGTTAAGTCCCAATTGGTCCTTTTTAAGCACATTTTTTTGTTGTAGCCAAGCCACACACCCCTTTTTTGGTCTGACAACTAAATGTTTTTTGCCCAATGTCTACTGACAACCTAGGATTAGTAAGCCCTGATTAGTTCATTGGGAGCTCCACGCCAAAAGTGATGATTTGCTTTTAAATTGTATCCGATTGTACCCCAGTTACCAGTTAATCAACATAAACATTCATTTGGGGTTGAAGTCATCCGTTCAAAGCAAAATTTGGTTAAATAAACCAGATGAAACCTACAATACTTAAATCTAACTTGTCTCAGTGATTTTTCCTTAGTTCAAACTCAGTGTTTGGCTCATGAAAACATTTTGTTTAAATCCAACTGTCAAGATCGATGTCATTCATGGTTGTATCCCAACTTATGGGGGTTCTAATAATGCTTATGCCTACTTACAAATTTGAGAAAAAAACATTCTATAGCTCGGTGATTAACCTGGAATACTATCGCTGGTTATATACTGTATGTGTTTTTTTTCTTCTTTTAAACACATATATATATATGTATATTATACATACATATGTATGGATTATAATGATTCTATCTGGATTATATTTGACTTATATCCATGTTCACCCCTAGCCTGCGATGCAGTCCTTCCTACGCAGTGGGCGAGCCTATGGCTCTTGACGCTGAGATTGAAGGGTCCGGGGACCCGAACGTTGGAAAAATGATGGAAATTCATGGGATTTAGCCAAGAAGAATGGTCATTTAATGGGATTTCACCAAACATTGGGATAGAATGGGATTATGGAGAAATTCCATGAAGAAACTGGCAGACTCACCAAGAAACTGGTGGAGCCATACGGCTGAAGAAACTTGTATACCTTGACCACACACGCCACATTCAGCAAACTTCAGAGTTCAAGGGGCAAGGTTTCTAACAAAAACTATGGAGAAAATGCGATGGTCTGAAGAGTTCCTGGCGGTGGCAGCGACGGACAAGCAAGGCCGCGAGACGGTAACGATCCAAGGCAGATCAGATCCGCAAGTTACCATCTGGTTATGACTAACATAGCCATTGAAAGATCCACCATTTTTAGGTGAACCATCTATTTCTATGGGCCATGTTCCATGGCTATGTTAAATGACCAGAGGGTATCACTGTGCATCTTGGCCGAAGAATCTCATTTTTTCTTTGCACGGAAGATTGATGGAAGATTGTTCTTTGCTTTTGTCCGAATTGCTGCAATTCGAAATTAAGATTTGTTTGTTAAACTTGGGACAAATGAAGATATGACCTTTTCTTGTGGGGATTTGGATATTTAAATTTGTTCAAGAAAGCATTTTTAGTTTTGGTGATTATTGATGAACTTTCTGCAATGGGATATTTGACTAAGAATATGATGTTTGTTTTTTCAACAAATGGGAGATTCCACAAATGATGAGGTTGATTCAACCATGAAAAGTCGCAAACAAGTTGTGTTTCACATGGCGATTCAACATGAACGACCTCGGGACTTTGTCACATTTTTTGTTGAGGTGAACCTGGGTAAATTATAACGAACTCACTACGACCTCACTGGAATCATGGTTAATAAGGGAAATCATCCCCAAATGGCTTTATTTCAGGTTAGTGGAATATTATAATCTACCCAGAACATCCCAGAACAATGTTGATTTTAACAAGCAACACATGGGATTTTAACATATTGTAACAACCGAAATGGAGGCTAGGTCAACAAAACTACGGCTTTTAACCTCAAATTTGAGTTGTAAAACAACCTAAGAGTGTGGACCATGATTTTTCTCTTGGAAGGCTTGCGGTTGCAAGTTGGATTTCAGGGCATCTCAGCAGCGGCTCCGACTTATGCCCAATACTGGTGTGTGGAAGCCGCTAAGGGATGGGGAGGGTCAGACATAAGCACTTCATAAATATTGGGAAGATGATGGAAGATTAGCATTTCAAGAGGGATCTATAACCAATTTGATATGTAAAAATTGGGTGTCTGAAAATGTGGTACACAGAATGGAAAAAGGGATGCCAAATCATCAATAAAATGAGGGGCACCTATTTTCCAAGCCTAAAATTGGGATTTTCCTGTTCAGTTCCTTGAGATGAGCTCCTTCGTAGTTCCGAAGCAACCTTGGAGTTTTCACTGTGGGAATGGCGACATGAGTCCGGAGCATCAGATTTTGACCCCATACCCAAACTCTGGGCGGGGGGGCTCATGTTTTTTTGCTTTGATTCTTAGTTATGGTTAGTCCCCTATTTCAATTGGTTCGATTTTGTTGGTTGGATCAGTTTTTTATTCGATCTTTGCTAGTTCAATCCCAAGTTTTTCTAGATGTCTCCGGGTAAATCACCATTCTTCCCTAGATTTCCCAGCTTTTTCTAGACAAATCCCCAAATGTTCGAGTTAAATCCCAACTAAATCCCAATCTGAATGGTAAAATCCCAATTGTTCTAGTTCAATCCCAATTTTACCTCTGGTAAACTAACAGTTTGCTATAGAAAATCACCATTTTGAAAGGTAAATCAACGAACTAAATGTGGTAATCAATAGCAAACTGTTCAATTAAACTGTTCAATTCCCAGAAGGAAAATCCCATATCATCCCATTATTAACCATGAAATCACCGTTTATAGTGGTTAAATCACCATTTTCCTATGATTTTCCTATGGTTTTCCAGAGGGTAAATCCCAATCGTTCAACTGCGATTTTCACAGGATGGACTGCCGCTTTACTGTTGAACCAGCCCTGCCGGAGGACGGGGTTGGGGAGAGGATGCAATGGGCTATAGATAGATCTAAAAGAAACAAACATTTGGGTAGATCTAGATCTAGATCTAGATATAGATAGACAGATAGATAGATAGAAACTGATACATACATAGATATAGCTAGACAATTATAGATAGAAATAGATAGATATAAATAGATATAGATGGATACAGATAGGTATAGATATAGTTGAATAGAGATAGCGATAGAGATAGAGATAGAGCTAGAAAGAGAGAGAGACAGGTAGACAGAGAGACAGAGAGACCGAAAGACAGATAGACAGATAGACAGAGAGACAGATAAACAGATAGACAGATAGACAGATAGATAGAAAGATAGATGGATTCGATGAGATTAGACTAGATTAAATTCGATCAGATTAGAATAGATTAGATAGATAGATATAGATACAGATTTAGATGTATATTTAGACCTAAATCTAGATCTTGATATAGATAAGTGAATAGATAGATATAAATAAAGGTAGATGTACATGTAGATGCAGGTATAGATAGATATATGTATATATAGATATATAGATAGATATGTAATGTATACGTGTATATATATATGTATCATATATATATATATCATATATATATAGCACATATATATATATATATCATATATATATATATAGATAGAGATCCAATATATCTACCAGGTGCAGTCTCATTATGTGTTGAGTTGTGAGGGCTACAGATCAGGAATTCGGGTGCACGGGGGCTGTAACTGGTAACTGCGTCTCATGTTCATCTCTATCCGTTCATCCGTTGTATCCATCTATCTATTCATCATTCTTCATCTATTCATCTATCTTTCCACGTTCTATCTGTGTTGATTTATAGATATATCCATATCATTCATTCCATATCCATATGCACAACTGGTTGGTGGTTTCAAACATTTTTTATTTCCCATAATATATGGGATAATCCTTCCCATTGACGTTCATATTTTTCAGAGGGGTAGGTCAACCACCAACCAGACAACTACTCATCGGATGGGTTGAAGGGAAATTCTACAGGAAACCTCCAATAGTTGAAGTTGATGTGGAAAAGAGCCATTGTTTTTCGGTGAAGATTTTCACCTTGCATCAGCCGCTTGGAACTTTTTATATCCCATCATATTCCCAGTATCTCCCCATGTTTCTTGGCTAAATCCCTTTAAAATCCTATTAGATCCCATTAAATTCCCATCAAATCACAATTTTGCTGGCGAATTACCATTAAAATCCCATTAAATAATCATTTTGCTGGTTAATTCCCATTGAAATCCCATTAAATCATCAGTTTGCCGGCTAATTCCCATTAAAATCATCATTTTTCTTGGTTAAAACCCATTAAAATCCCATAAAATTCAAGCCATCTCGCAGGGTCTCACGTTGGATCCTGAGACGGGGCACATTAGCGGCACCCCGGAAGCTCAGTGGGGCGGCTCAGAGGCCCGCCCAGTGGTAGTTTTGGCGAACTCCTGAACAATTCTCCATGGTGAAATTGGTCATTTTAGTGCCGGTCAATTCAGTCACCGTTTCGGTCATGTGTTCTACTGAAAAACCACCATGATGCGGTTCATCTCACCATTTCTGTCGCTTTCCTCCTTTGTACCAAAAGGTTCAAAGGTATGTATTCCCATGATGCATCACGTGTACTATAATCCCCAAAGCACAAAAAACTATGAAAAAAACTTTGGGGATTACATCCCTTGCTTACCATGTGAGCTCGTTGTGAGGTCGACATTATTCCCATGATATACACGCAGAAAGGGACCCCATAGTTAGCTTAGTTGATTTGTAATATTTTATAGTGATAATAACCAGGACGTATGATGGATATATCAAACTAGTTAAATGGGGTCATAAACCAACAAACATTTCACCAACTGGGAGTTCCCTTGCTGTAGTTATTTATGTACTGCATCCCTTTTAATAGCTGTGTATAGCTGTATATCAGATATTTGTCAAGTAATATTGCCAGGATTTTGAAAACCAACCATTGCTATGTAATATCATTATATATCATTGCTATTTTCGAAACCAACCATGTATATATATATATATATTTGTGCATGGAGGTTTCCTGAAATAGGGTTACCCCCAAATCATCCACTTAAGTAGGATTTTCCATTATAAACCATCCATTTCGGGGTAGCTCCATTTTTGGAACCCCCCATATGTATACAAGGTGGTGCCCCCCCCAGTTATGAATTGCTTTATTTGCCCATGAAAACTAGTTCGATATATCACCTTTTTTAATTCCATAGTGAAATTGGAGTTATTTGCACGCACCAGTCCTGAACGCTATCGAACGGGGGCGCCACCTTGTGTAAAATTGGTCAAATCAATCTGAAATGTTTAACGAAGCTATCAGGTGCCTCGAGACCACGTGCGCCACGCATTTTATCGGGCTGTTTTCATGGGTAATTCACCGAATGGGATGATGTATCGGGATATTAGTGGGGTATTAATGGGATTTACTGGCATATTGCTGGGATAATATGACATATGTAATTAATATTACTGGGATAACATTTGATGAATATAACCAACAGTAACGGGATATTCATGGGACATTGACGGGATATTGCAGATCTATTGAGAGATTTTCATGGCTATAACATGGTATATTACTGAGATATTGAGGGATTTTCATGGAATATTGAAGTGGTTTCAGGTTGATTGAATATTCAAGCCGCCAAGCCCGGATTGGGGGCAGAACCAGATGTGTTGAACCCAACAGATCATCGATCCTCGACCATGTTTTTCTGGAACAACATTTACAGCCTGGAAAATTGCCTGCGAGGCAAACCTGGGTGCCGCAATCACAATTCAGCCAACTTGAGTTTGCCAAAAAAAACAGCAAAGCGAGACTAGTCTGACAGAGTTGACGATGAACGAGCATGGCTCAAACAATGTTTAAATCATCAGATATTTGCAATGATTTCGAGGTTCGTGGATTTCAAGAAGCCTCCACTTACCCTCCGGTGTCATCAAATGTGGCTTTTTTAAATCCACCATTTATAGATCATTTGCCAATTAAAATGTCCATTTAATTATAGGGAATATATATCCCAATCAATGGAGTTTTTTTTTTCGCTGGGAACATGATCTGTGGGTGATTTCCCTTCGCAGGTACCTTCTGTCAGCTTCCAATGCCTCGGGTAGCACGTCAACATCTCTCACCTTTCAGGCGCCAGTGGAGAAAATCTGTAGTTCAGGCGCAATTTCCTGAGAAACCATAAGCATCAGACAATATTGGCAAATCACCTTTTTTACTGGGAAAATCCATAGTGATTGGGCAATCTTAGATGGGTCGGTAGAAACTAGTTCTAACTAGTCTTTTGGTATCAATGGGATTATCTACGTTCACCAGTTAAGAATTTGTCATATTTTGCAGGGTATCTAAGGTTGGCCATGAGAAAATGGCTGTAGAACCAAGAAACGAACCAGCAAAAACCAGACAAAGTAGGGTTTGAACATGATTGCAGCAGCAAAAAGTGGTGTTTTTTGTGGGGGATACTGGGGTACCCTCTGGTTAAACATACAAAAAACGATGGACCATCACCATGCTATTAATGGGTATATCAACTATATTTCTATGGCCATTTTCAATAGCAAACTGTTAAATTACCAGAGGGTAATCATGGAGAATTCCAATTGAGCAGTGGTTCCTAACCCCCTGTTGATGTTTTTTTTTTCCCCGGGCTTATACTATATCCAATCTGTTGGGGATTATCATGAATGAATTGGGAAATCCCATGCACCAATGAGTGGATACTGCCAGGGCAAGTTAACCTACTGAATCCGTTTCTTTTGGATCCCGTGTGAGTTTAAACATAGGATCCATACCTGCTTACGTCAAGGTGCATCCCACTTCGTAACTGGTTCAAAACCATGGTTAATTAACTCAATTATGTATACATAAAACATATGGGATATCAAGATGTTATGATTGTGGGATGCTTTCAGTCGTGTGTGTGGGTTATATAAGTTAGTTATATTGGTCTATCCTGAAGAACTTATCTTACATGTCCATATCATCCCATGCTCCTAATCTTAGCAGGAGACATATACCCCATTACTCATTACCATATACAATCATACGTATACATAATACATATTCCCTAATGTAGCAACTAGGTAGCGGGAAAAAGGGGATATGATTCCCTAATGTTGTTACTATATTAAGGGGCTACGCCCCCTGCCGCCGACCCCTGGGAGAGAGGGGGAGTTTACACATACGTCACTTCCCGAACCTACAAGAAAACTATATGGGTACGAGTCAAAATACAAGGTATGGATCAAGGCGCCAAAGCTACACACGATCCATACCCCCCGATCCATACTTTGATCCATACCCTGTGATATTGTATGATCCATACCTTTGATCCATACCCTTGATCCATACCCCTGATCCATACCCCTTTCTCGTTGAAGAAAGACTGATGCTGGCCTTAACGATGCTTTTTATCCTAATATATACTGCTTCTGGTTCTCGTACTGCTACTCCCATCGCTACTACCGTTGCTTCTACTGCTGCCTCCACTGCCTCCGCTGCTGCTGCCGCCGCCACTACTAGTGATTATCCTTCTTGCTGCTGGTGCTGGCTCACGTTCTCCGTGTGCTTCGGTAGTTGGACAGATGTAACTAGTTGACTAGCTACTAGCAATATTGCAAGTGCACCTTGGAGGCTTGTAAGACCGCTTCTACTTCCACTAGGTGCTTATTGTACTTCTAGTGGTGCTATGACTACAACTCCTTCTGTTTCTACTTTGCCTGGCACGTGTAGAACTAAAAAAGCATGGTGTCCTGATCCATACCCCGATCCAGACCCGTTCCATGCCTGGTCCATATCCGAACCCAGTCACGCCACAACAAGTGCCAATATGAAAGTTCGAATCTGTTACTACTTCTGCTGCTGCTTCTTGCTCTACTTGTGCTTCTACTTCTACTTCTGCTTGTACTTCTACTTCTACTTTTGCTGCTACTACTACTACTTCTACTACTGCTGCTGCTGCTACTATTACTACTACTCCTACTACTACTGCGACTGTTATTGCTACTGCTACTGCTCCTCCTCCTGCTCCTGCTCCTGCTGCTCTTCCTATTCCTACTCCTGCGCCTACTCCTCCTACTACTCCTAGTTCAACTGCAGCTGCTGCTGCTACTACCATTAGATTATTTTACTGTTATTACTTTGACTCTTACTAGTACTACTGTTACTGCTACTGCTAGTTCTACTGCTACTGCAGCTCCTCCTTCTATTGCCGCTACTGCTGCTGGTGTTGTTTTTTTTTTACTGCTCCCTCTACTAGCAGTGGCAACAGGTTTAGCAGCAACAGTAGCAGGAGGAGAAGTAATAGCAGGTAGGAGATAGTAGGAGTATCAGCACAGTTTGTATGCTATGATGAGCCCTTACGAAAGGGTACGGAGCACAGTATGCAAAGCATTCATGTTGTTTGTACTAATGGTTTGAACATGCAGACATGCATCATATGCCTGTCCGAGTACCGAATGAGTTACAGAAACTCAGGCAGTTGAAGTCATTTGAACCCTCTCAACTGTCTATTCAACTCGAACTCAAGCAACGGGAGAGAAAGGTTGCAGTGGCACAAACTAGGAGAACATCCGGCACTTCATTTTGGTGGAGAGCTTCATTTTGGTTTCCGGTGGCCCGACCAGGTACAGGGGGGCCATTGCAGCCGCAAGGGAACGGAGTTCGTGTAGCAGCTATGCAAGCACATTTTGCTGTCAAAAAAGCATGTTTCCAAACAGTCTGGAGCATGCGGGGATACTGGAATCGACCACTAGAAGCTGGTGATGAGTTTGCAAGGGCTAGTGGCACTGGAATGCCCAGGAGTTTCTTTGACACTAGGGATGGTCTTGATAAACAATGTTGTTTAGAGCATCCTGCCATGTCCAACGAAGCGCGAGCGCGTCGGCGAGCGAAGGCCGCGGCGCTGCGAGCGCGGCGCTCATGCCGACGGGTGACCATGCTCGTTAGTCAAGCAGTGACATCAGGACTGCAGTGGAGCAAGCCCCCGGGAGAAAGAATATGTATTCGTTCTGGTTCAAAAAGCCGGCTACGACATTTTGCTTCTCTGGCATTCTATTTGGCATTCTAACTGGCATATCTTGTAACATTACATCCGGTATATTTTCTGGCACTCTATCTGGTATATCTTTTGGGGACCTGGTGAATTGAGTAGCCTCATGAAGGAGTTGGGCAGGGAGCCTGCGTCGGTAGTGGGATTCCCAGATACGAAACCTAAACCGTTGCCGCCTAGTGAGACTTTTGGATGTAAGCTCTTGCAGACTTGCTCCAGTAGGTTAGCGACAAATGTTATTAGCAACCTTAGTCCACATTATTCGTGGCAGTGTGGTTGGGTCTGGTCGATTTCTTCCGAAGGCATGATTTGTTTCGCGGAGTTGAGTACCAGATTGCCTTCAAATGGCCAGCGGCTGCAGCATATGCCATT